ACGTGGATCTAGTTCAAGTCAGTCTTCTACAGGTAGCCAACATGGTTCTACATCTGGTCAATCTACTAGCTGTGGCCAACACGGATCTAGCTCTGGTCAGTCTTCTGGCTACAGACAACATGGGTCCATTCAGTCTTCAAGTCATAAACAACATGGTTCTGGTTCAGGTCAGTCCTCTAGTTCTGGACCACATGGGTCGGGATTAGGCCCATCCTCCAGTTCTACTTCAGGGCAGTCATCAGGCTGTGGCCAAAGTGGATCGAACTCTGGTCAGTCTGCTTATGGTCCACAGGGTTCAAGTCAGTCTTCTAGCAATCAACAACATAGCTCTGGCTCAGGTCAGTGTTCAAGTTGTGTCCATTATGGCTCTGGATCAGGTCAGTCCTCTAGCTGTGGTCAAGATGGATATAGCTCAGGTCAGCCTAGTTATGGTCAATATGGTTCTGATCAGTCTTGCAGCCATAGCCAACATGGATCTGGCTCATTTCAGTCTCCCAGCTCTGGCCAACAAGGATCATGTTCAGCTCCATCCTCCAGCTATGAGCAACACTGGTCTGGTTCAAGCCACTCTTCTAGCCATAGCCAACCTTGTTCTGAATCTGAAAAATATGGGGCTGGTTCACATAACTCTTCCAGCTCTGTGCAAAGTGGCTCCCGATCTCGTCAGTATTCTGGCTCTGACCAGTATGGATCTGGTTCATGTCGTTCATCTTTCTCTGAACAATGTGATTATGAACCTGGTCCATCTTCTAGCTATGAGAAGCCAGAATGTCAAGGGAGATACAGATCAAATTCAAGTGGAATTCATGATGAATACAGTAGACCCAGAAGGGGTTCAACACCCAAACAATCAAGGAGAAGTAGCCAGGAATGGTCAGGGTACAGTCAAAATGAAGGAAGTGGCAGTGAAAGTCTTTCAGGTAGTGAGTCTGATGGATGTGAAAGTACTAATAAACCAACAAGATCTTGGAGGCAAGGAAGTCATGGAAGAAGCCAGAGTCCATGTGAATCTGGCTTCAACCACTCAAAGGGTAATCAAGAAGGGCAATCAAGAAGCAGTTGCACACACGTAGAAAGTTCCTCAGGTTGTGGTTTTGGACAAATCACACCTTCCTATGGACAGTCTACATACAGCACAACAAATACACTAATTTGCAAGGCAGATAATTTACAAGGCGACTACGGTTATCAGAGAGGAGGCAGTAACTATGGAGGGGGAAGTATCAGCTCAAGTTCCCATGGCTTCAGCAGTAGCACTCCACTCTATGAATATGTACAAGAGCAGAGGGGCTAGATTTAGAGATGAACAATAAAGAGAATTAACTCAAGGAGTAATGTAAGAAATGTAAAACAAGCAATATAGACAAAGTAATTCATTTAAAAACCTCTTTCTAAAAATACACATATCTCATCTTTTTCTCTTTTTCTTTTAAAGATGTAACTCCATCATTGTTATAGGGGTCCTTCCAAAGAACATAGGTATGTGGGCTACTTTGTTAGAAAATACTGAGTTGGATAATGTGTGGGACTAAACTGTAAGAATAATGATAAAGCATTTAAGGAGCTTGGGCTTCAGTTGATGTCTTTTTGAGAGTTCACTGCTCATGTGATACCAAACCTAAGGTTGTATCTTTAAAGGGCAAAATCTTTATAGATTATAACTTTATAGATTATATCATTAAATATTATAACTTCATGACCACTTCTGAAGCCAAAACTTCACTTATAGCAATATGACCAAATAATTTTTGTGGTGATGGCACATTTCAATGATGGTAGAACAAACAAGATCCTAAAAACACAAGTGCAGATGTTGGTTTGCTCAGAAAACCTATCAAACACTACTTTTGGGTGTTTCTTTAATAAGTAAAGGAGCAAGAAGTATTAAAAAGTGAGATGAGGTGTCTCTCCATAGCCAGTGAGTAAGACAGGGATGGTTCAGGTCAGGATCCAAATGTGGGCTCTGATTTTATTTTGCAAAAATGAACTTAGCCAGTACTCTTAGGAATTTCTTCCAGGCTGAAAAACTTTGGAAGAGTAACAGCAAGAAAATACAATGGCCTAACCTACTTCTGTAGTTTATGGCCTTTCCCCCATCAGGAAATGCATATGTACCCAAATGAAAGAGAAGATCTCTCACTGCACACAGTTCCTTGAGTAGACTGTAACATATCTATTTCATATCTTTGTATTAAAAAATAACTGGAATGCATTAAAATTGGCAATAAATAACATGCTGAGGTTTGTCTCATCTCTCTTCATTCACTTCCACATGCCAGTGATAAGACTAGAAACTAACTCAAATAAATTTCTAGATTACAAGTTACTGTCGTTCACAAACAACCTAGGATATACAGTTAATTTTTCTTTTTTTTTTTTAGATTTATTTATTTATTCATACAGAACTGGGGTATAGGCCAGAGATGGGGAGGGTGAGAGGCTTCACCAAAGACAGAATGGGGAGCAGAACAGGCCGACTGATGAAGTACACTGCTGAGGGGAGCAGTGGGCGGGCCAGGAGAGGTCTGCCACGCCATGTGGTCACCTCCGGGGCAGGCGGGGATCGAACTCATGCGGAAGTGGCTTTAGCTTCTCAGTGCTGTGCTTTAACCCGCGGCACCACCAGGGAGGGCCCTAATTTTTCAATTAATAAAACTACTCAACTTTAAAATAACAAAAGATTTGATTGAATGCTTGACCAAAAAGAAAGCCATATAGACAATAATCACATGAAAAGAACTTAGTCATTAGCCTTCAGGGAACTCTAAATTAAGCATAATTAAAACATGCTAAGATACAACCTGTACCCACTGAATGATCAAAATTAAAAACACTGGCAAAAACAAAACTTTATAATGTCTGTGGAAAATAAATTGATATACTTACTTTGGACAGTGTACAACTTCTTATAAAGCTATAGATATTTGACTATGGGAACTAACAATTCTACATACTAAATGAAATGAAAGTATCTGCCCCTTGAAGATTTTCACATAAATTTCACAGCATCTTTAATAATATTCTCCCTAAACTAAAAAAACAACCCAAATGCCCACCAATCACTGAATAGGTAAATACATACACAATGCAGTATAGTTTCATAAAGAAAAAAATAAGCTCCTGCTATACATGCAATGGATGAGCCCAGGAACATTACATTAAACAAAAGAAGTATCTACTGCAAAATGCCATTTATATGAAATCATAATTAAAGACACTATAAGAATTAAAAGTAGATAAATGGTAGACTTTATAAACTGCAGAATTTATGAACTGTCTAGAAAAAAAGGAACACAAGCAAATAACTGACCACCTATTCAACATGGAAATGTGTTTTTTTTTAAATTCATAGAATTGTGCACTTGAAATGGGTAAAGAAGCTGTGCTTGTTTAAAGTTTCCCTGTGACACTTCAAACACAAATTTTGAAACTTTGTGTAAAACTTGGATAAAGTATCAAAATGACTAGAACAACTTTTGAGCTAAAGCAGGAAAAAGAATGTCATCTTGTCAGATGTCAAAATAACTATAAAAGTTATATCATTTAACACAGTATAGCTACGATATAAGGAGAGACACACAGAAAACTCCAGGAACAGACCAAGGAATATCTGATGTAAACATTAATGCACATTTGTTAATATTAACAAAACAATTTTTAAAGTATGTATCCATTTCATACCAGATAGAAAATCAAATCCAAGAGTTAAAATTGAAAGTGTAATCAATTAACTTTTTATCATTAAAGAAAATGTAGGAGAACATCTTTATGACTTTAATGTAAGAATGGACTTCTTAACAAGAAATACAAAACCACAAAGAATAACTTCATGAAATTTTTCAAAATTGAATTATACGTGTCTGTAAATGAAAAGACATTCTCAAGATGTTATAAGGACAGCCACTGACAATAATAAAATGTTTGCAATGAAAATAAACAGCATCTATTCCATGCATAGATTGCACCAATATTTATAAATATCAAATTAGTAACAAGCAACAAAACTTATAAAAAGTAATTCAGGACCCTCCTTTGGTGGTGCAGCGGGTTAAGGCACAGCACTAAGAAGCTAAAGCCACTTCAGCATGAGTTCAATCACCAGCCCCAGAGGTCACGTGACCCACATGGCACTCAGACCTCTCCTGACTTGCCCGCTGTTCCCCTTAGCAGTGTACTTTGTCAGTCGGCTTGTTCTGCTCCCCACTCTGTCTCTGGTGAATCCTCTCATCACCCCTGTACTTCTGGCCTGTACCCTAGTTCTATATACCACAAATAAATAAATCTTCAAAAAAGTAATTCACCAGAATATATTAAATCATCAAGTGGCATTTTAAAAATGACTATCAGGAGAACAGAAAATAAAACGAAATTAAATACCTTTTCTACCCACTGGATCAGAAAATACTAAATTCCACCAATGACCAGTGTTGCTAGAATATGGGTCAATGAATGTGTGAGTTGGTGACCACTGAGGAAGCAACATGACAGCCATGCCAGAGTTAGCCAAGTGCTGCAAGCAACTTACAAATGTTCACGGAAGACCAGATAAATAAACTGTGACTTGGCCACATTCTAGAATGCTACATAGCAATCAATAGTAATTAATTCAAATTACAAAGGAAGGGAAAGCAAAATATGACACTTGGGCATGTGGGGGACTTTGACTAAAGGTATTCAAGGCCTAGAAGACTCAGGAAGAATTTGTTTCCTCTCCCTTAACTGCCTGACAGAACTTGTATCAGGAAAAAGGCCATTATCACAGGTGACTTTGTCTATCAGCAAGACGTGTCTGCATGGCAGGGCAAACATTTCTTCACCATATTTTCGCTCACTTCATCTTCTTATTTTCTTCCCTTTGGGATTTGCATCTCCTTAACCCCTTTTCCTTACTTCAGGGTGATACAGATCTCCAAAAGCCTGTGAATCTTGTATTTGCATGGAGCTCCTGTACCTACAAAATTATGGTTTCCTTTTGCTAGTTTATTATATTGATTGAATTATTAGACCAAACCCCCGAAGGAAACTGTCTTCCTCCCCTACAATATATGAAGCTCACTATGCATGAGTTCCCAAAATAGAATGCTGAATGAAAAAGGTGTGTGACACCATTAATATATTGTCTTACAACATATACAATAATACAGTGTATAGTCTGTAGTAAGTATTTGGTAGATGCAAAAAAAAAGAGAGAGAGAGAGAGAATGTT